TCTGGAGACATCGGAGATGCGGTAGGCCTGGTCGAGCCAAGAATAAGGACGCGAATTTCCGCTGTTGTTTGTTTCCCCTTTCCCTCGAAAGCAAACAGAGACGAGGCGACGACCTCCGATAAAAGGCGGGCGTCCGTTGTATCATTCTTTGTTTCTTCTTCTCCATGCGATTATACGACCGTATTACACTCACGAAGGACACTGCCCGTCATATCTCCGGCTCTAGCGCTTCTTTTTTTTTTTTTTTTTTTTTGTACATCATACTTCTTGTTTTTGACCTCCTTCGTCGCCTTTTTCCCCACTGTTTGTTTTATTTTTCTCTCCTTTCTTGATTTAGGGTGAGGGGGTGGGGGATCATAAGTTTGGAGGATCATAGTGCGGAACGAAAGCACGGAAGTACAGGAATGTCTTGTATTTGCACAGTAAGCCTACAAATGCAATAGTTATTTCAAGAGGAGGCTTGAACGGAGATCACCGAGAACTACACCATATGCGGCATAAACATTAAACAAAAAACAAAAAAAAACCTGGATCAATTTAGCGCTTGCATGACCCAAATCTACTAACTATATAATAATTTATCGGATGATTTCGTTAACGCGTTCTAGTCACTCAAAGTCTAATTAAGAACGATAAAGAGCATAGTTAGTCCCTGTCATCTTTTCTTTTTTATAACGAGATAACCTGCGATAATGTCTGATAAGAAGATTTCTATACAGAGTCCAGGTGTCAGTTAACAACGCCGTGCCGTTCTGAACCTGGCAATGACTACAGTTGCAATGCCTTTCAGAGTCACCGCACCCTATGTGAAGTTCCGATACAATCCCCGAGGGTGCAAATGAGTGCTGCCATAAGGGGAATTTCGGGAAGATCGGTGTCCACATGCACATGTGTTCAACAGGCAGACAGTTTTCGTATGGCCGATGTAAGAGGATCGTCATGCAAGGAACGTCTCAGACACTGTCCGCAGATTCTCTTTTGCATTATGAGTATGACCTAAGGGTGGAAGATTTTCACTCCGACAAAAAAAAACTGCCACAAGTTACAAGGCCGTGGCTCTCAACTGTCTGCCGTGGAAATGGAAACTTGTCGTTGCTCTATCATTTTCTTCTTTTTTTATTTCATTCGTTCCTTTTGCTTATCTTTTTTCTAGTTAATTGATCAATTGTATATACTGTGATTCCAAACCCGTAGACTTTGGTACCATATCTCAAGGAACCTGAGTGGGACTCAACTAATGAGACATGATGAGCCCAGATTCCCTCCGATCATCAACAAGGATGAGTACTAAGATACTAATGGCGAATTCGCGTGGTCAACCGCCGGCAACTTATTTTGCCGGAAAACCGGCAATAGTGTTCGCGTGGTCAGTTTCCGGCCGGCGCGCTCCGTTCGGGTGGTGGTTCTCCGGCAGGCACCGGCAACTTTCCGGCGCTTTTTCCGCCCGAGCTCCGAACGGCCGGGCGAGTGGGCGCCAGACTGTATCCGGTGTCGTCACTTCCGAAATGAGAGAGAAGGTCAGTGAGAAAAAAATTAACGAAAGAACGAAACTGATCTGAAGTAACTTTAGCAGCCGCTACGAAAGTCAATCCAAGTCGTTGGGACATGAGTGACGGCGGCGACAGGCTCTCGCTAGCGGTGTCGCGCGGGCAAGAGGAGAAGTAAACTGCCACCGTCTGGCGTTTCGTGTTCGGGTGGTGAGGGTCACGTGGTGTGCCGCCGGCGCGTTTCTGGTTGCCGGTTCCGCCGGCTCGTTCTCGCCGGCAACTGACCACCCGAATTCGCCATAACTGATCTCTCGATTAAAAAAATATATATATATATATTTCGTTTGAAAATAATGTAGTAATGTAATGTAAAAATTGCCGCATTTTGGAAAAAATCGTAGTGGTCCAAGAGGCACCCTTGAAAACGAACGCTGAAGGTAAAGTCCGAGGCGCTAGAGTCGACCTTGCGAGATTGATACCGAGCCCAGAATTAAGGTACGTGCCCCGATTAGCTGGAAAGCCGTTGCGAAAAGGCGGTAGCCTAAGTTTGATTTCAAGCGCCTTTGACGACGAAAACGAGCAGACCCGCTCTGCGATTGCGACACGAGCGCCAGTGCGTTGATCGGCACCGGTAGTGCTTTATTTCGTTGATTTGCCGAGTAAGCTCATCAATAAATCAAAAGTGGTATAGGCGGACTTTTAACCTCAGTAGGTCAACTGGAAGGCATTTCGGGCAATTCGCACTGAAAAGGTGCACACCGATTCATTAGCGAACTTATTTTTGAATGGCACTAACAGAAGAGTAATTTTTGCACGCAGCTCATACCGAGAGCACGTCTAAATCAATCAAAATGTGACGAAGGGGGAAAAAAAAAAGACAGTCTTGTTTTTTCTTTTGGTTTTCTGACAAGTTGTTTTCATTAATATAAATGCAAAATGCGCCCCATGAACTATGGGTATGAAGAATATTAGGCCTAGGTAGACGTCAGCCCACAGAAATTTCGCGTTATTTTTTTCGTTTTATTTGTCGATCCAGGTAATGTCATAACCTCAAATGTTCGCATTATATCACCGCCCATAAAGTCACATCCACAGGAAGCTTCAGATTTCTGCGACGCGTAGTTCGTTTATTCGGGCCGAAAAACGGGGTTTTATTTTCTCGATCAGACACTGCCTACGTGCCTTGCATCGTGTGAATATAGAGCTGCCTTTTCTTGCGCTGCTTCCGGCTGTGACTAGAATAAAATCACAATATTTGATATACCCCAATCACGGTCAGTACGAAATATTAAAGCCGAATTTATGACTATGTATGCTGCGTAAAACGAACGGCGAGAACTGAACGCTTTGACGCTAAGGAAGTTGGCCAACAACAGTGATAACCTAACTGATCCATACATAAGTAATTAGCTTTCGACGTCCATGATTAGTCACTGCATAAGTTATAACTGGAGGGCGGCTGGACTGGCTGCACCATGACATAATTGCCGGCAGTTTATGGTGCATAAATAATAATAATAATAATAAACTTTATTGCTTCTCTTTGAGACTAGTCAAAATTAATGCAGGTTCGTCAAAGCCATCGAGGGCTTGTGGGACAGAACCTAAGTTGAGTGACATCGAGTGAAGTATTAGGAAAAGTTAAGCATCGCAGTAGCATCAAGAAAAGTATTAAAAAAAAAAGCTGGAGCATCGCATCGGTATCAAGTGAAGAAAAGAACACAAAAAGTTTGAGCGTCGCAGTAATAGTAAGTGTGCACATTTAAAAAATGTTAGCTTTGTCACAATCTTGAGAAAAGTTCGTGAAGTTTCAGAGGTTGGTCATGCGACACCAGAATGTCAAATGTTTTACATACAAACAGTACGTACTCTGGAGCACCAGTAAGTATGATCAATTGGCTCTAGTATATACATATCTATCAGTCTTCGGTCCTTTCGAATCACAATAACTTCACAAAGTTTAAAAAAAGTAAAAAGTAAAATGATACAATGGTACACCATAAATAAATATTAAAAAAAAAATGTTGCAAAAGAAAAAGCAGGGTCGTTTGGTCTTTTAAACGCGACAAAAACCACAACCAACAAAGAAAGAAAGACATAATAATAATGATGATAATATTAATGTCCTTTATCGTCCAAACAATGCTGGGGTAAGCGAGGGAAAAGAGCTGTTTACAAAAACGTATCGCGTCAGATGCTCACCGATATCTTGTTAAGTTCAATATTTTTGACGCTAAACTGGTTCAGAATGATCGGAAGGGCGTATGTTAATCTGTGACGGCCATAATTTGTTCTAATAAACGGTACTCCCCACGGTTCCAAACTTCGTCTGAGATGTGTATACACTTGTTCCGTTAAATTAGCTAAATTTTCGGAATAGCGACTGTTAATCTTGTTTTCTTTTCTTTTTTTCAATTAAGCGGTATATATACAAATCATAAATTTTCATTATGCGGAGTTGATGAAATATATTTTCTGTTTGACATTCAGTTGCATCATAGCCGATCCTTCTCAGTATATTTTTTTCTCTAATATGAAATCAGAGCTCCTCTCGTTTCTTATCAAATGACATTGGTTACTTCGTTCTGTGGTGCCTCAAATGCAAAGCGCATTCCACTCCCCATGCTTTGTTGCGATGAGAACCTGGGAAAGGTTGACCAGAGGAGGTTTCCGCCGTGGGTCGTGAAGCCATCCGTGGGTCGTGAAGCCATCCGTGGCTCGGTAATATATACTGCCAAACGGTCAGTGTTGTAGGCGTTACCAAAAAAAAGGTAACGAAACATGCTACTCGTTACTTGCAAATCAGAGGAACGCGCGTTACCGACCTATGTTACCTCGAAACAAAAATTAACGCATTACTTTTACCGATAAAAAGTAGGGCGCGTTACTTTTTTTATTTGTGAATTAAAACGTTTCAATGTTTCAACGTTAGAAGTATCCGTAAGTGACATATTAAAAAAGAAAACAAAAAATGAAACATTATGTTTACGGAGAAACTTAACCTTATTTTTTTACGGTTCTGATTTTGGAGGTGTATATGGGGTAAGTGCAAGAATTCGTACAACTTGGCGCCTAACAAAACAAAAAAGTTTAAGCTAATTTTTTTAGTTCTTGGGAAGAAGACGTAACGAGTAACGTAACTACGTTAACCTTTACTGGAAATGCGTAGAGAATTTTAGGGAACCGTTTTTGCACGTCCGATATATTACGGTGGGCCCTCCGGTACGAACAGCGCATATGCAAGTCTTCTGTGTAGCGCATGCGCAGTTCGTACAGGAGGGCCCATCGTACCGTACTGGATGTGCAAAAACGGTTACCTAAAATTCTCTAGTAACGTTCGTACGCTATTCGTTACTGTTTTGAAAAACGTAACGAGTACTTTAGCGAAAAAAGTAACCCGTTACCGCCGGCACTGCGAAAGGTGAACTGTTCACAAACAGGCCCGCGTTTGTCTACCACGCACTGCGCGTGCGCGGAGAGCAGATTCGCACGGAAGGTCCGTTCGTTGTGCAGACGCGTCCCATCCCATCGGGGTGCCATGGCGACGGGGGCGCTGGAGAAGAAGAGGCCTCAGCCCAAGGAGCAGACGCGGCTGGTGGTCCAGCGGGACAACCCGTACCAGGACACGCACCGCAGCTGGGTCGTGTCCGTCGCCTGCGCCTGGAACTTCTTCTGGCTGACGCTCATCAACCGCTCCAGCGGCATCCTCTTCGTCGCCATCCTGGACTCCTTCAGCGTCAATAGACAAGACGCCGCCTGGTCCTTCAGCCTCATGGACACGCTGGCCAGCTTCACGAGTACGTGCACACCACCACAATAATGATGTGTCGCGTACAACGAGTCCGGCGTGCAACGTTTCGTGTGTCCGACGGACATCTTCGCACAAACGTCCAAAGACGCCATCTAGGAGATGATAGCTGCAGATTGCGTGTACGGCGGTCTAAAGGATGGTTCGCATATCTGCCTTTGGGGGTGACCCAAAGCCGTCGGATGGTTCACATATTTCACCACCAAAGGCGTCGGTACCCTTTCTGACTGCTTAGACAAGATGCGCAAGATCACGCACTGGCGCCGTCTGTCAGGTAGTGCTGGAACACCTCCGACCGGAGTATTCGCCGTAGGCATGAAATGATTCTGACAAGAGAGAGTTATGGTAGATCGTTTAGATGACTCCGATGACGATATCCGATATTCCGCCATTGCGCATGCATCATTTCGTTATGGAGTATTGTTATCGGAGTTATCGGAGGTGCAGGAACAATCTACTAAAGCTCTCTAATGATATAAGCGACCATTTCTCATAGACAGTGCGTAGACTTGATCTCGCAAATACTGCAAAGCCTTCAGTCTATAGTTTACCAATCAAATCGGAAGACGGCGCTTCTGTCTGTTCTGTCGTCGTAGGCAGTGAATCACACTCAAACGTGAATGTATGAACCGGCCTTAAACTGTTACAGGTGGGAAGGAAAAAAGGCTCGAGGTACACCTAAGCACTTATGAGTTGCGAATGCGAAAGCATGCGTACCGCTCTTCTGCTCCCGTGTTTTGTTCGCGGAGTAATTCCGTAGGCCGCGAGCGCGCTCTCCCAACTCTCCTCGCAGCTCTGACCTTGGACGCTTCGTGTTACAGGCGCGCTCGCGGCACGGACACGCAGCGCCATGGGGCGGCGGTCGTTGAAACTGACACGCGCAGCGGCCAATAGGAGCCTCGCCGACGCGCGCCGGCCAATGGGACCGAAGGCGAAATCCATCAGCGTTACTCCGCTCCTTTGGGGGTTCGGGGAAACTAGGTGCCGTTGTCAAGGCTCTTCGCGTGGTTTCATAGCTGGGAGCTGGCTTCACTTGGAGAAAGGATTTAAGGTGCCGTTTTCGCGCTTCAAACTGATAATAATAATAATAATAATAATAATGTTTTTTATTCCCTTAACAAATACATATAAATAATGCTGGCCTACAAAAGCAGTATCCTGCTTGTGCGTAGGACCAGAGAATCCAGCGAAATACATATCAATACATCATGATAAAAAATCGAACGAGTATAATGTGGCCATTGGAACCAACATTAATACAAAACAGAGCCAAAAATTCGAGACAAAACAAAATGAACACAACTATCGAAATCATTAAGAGGCAAGTATACAGTGATGGGAGTAAAGCAGTGTTTATGGAGGTAATGAGAGGCACCAATTTTTTATTTTTTTGTACTTTTATCTAATTTATTTTCATTAAAGGCTCAGTGAGCTCATTAAATAAGGTGGGAATAAAGTGAGTTCTGCATCTTTTTCCGTATTGCCTGTAAATTCTGGGGATTTTGAACCTTTCTTTGAGCCTTAGGTCCCTAGGCTTGTCCACTGGAACCTCGATCGTTGCATCGTAGGAATAATTTATAAACGTAACATATCTATTAAAATTTTTAAAGAATAAAATTTGGAGCTTCTTGGCTTTATCTTCCATAGCTAATGTTCCGTACGGAGTTCCGTGTGTAATGTTTTTCACCATATGTTTTAAAATTAATCTATTGCATTTGTCTTGTATGGAGAATAGTGACCATATAAAGTGATTCCATATCGTAGAATTGATTCAGCTAACGACCTGTACACCAGTAGTCTTATCTTTACGCTGCACAAACTTCTTATTCTGTACAGATATGCTGAAACGGCACGTAGTCTTTTAGTCACAAATTTCACATGTTGATTCCATGATAAATGCTCGTCCACGTATAATCCTAGATATTTTACACAATTATCGTATGACAAAGGTTTACAAGTACAATTATTACACGGTGTCGAATGAAGTAAAATTCTAGGTGACATATCAACACGTTTATGAGAATTTCGGAAACACATTAACTTAGTTTTGGCAAAATTTACTGAAATGGCATTTGAGTTAGACCAACCTATTAGTTCATTTATATCTCTTTTGAAGACTAAAACAGCATCATCATAGTTTTCATAGGGTAAAACTAGCACCGAATCGTCAGCATACTGAAATAGCTTAGCTTGTAGAGGTAGAATACCCAAATCATTTATGTAAACGTTAAATAAAATTGGTCCCAGAGTGCTACCTTGTGGTACACCACATTCGACTTTAACTGTGCTACTTATATTATTCATAATTTTAGCCATTTGTAGTCTGTCGTTAAAGTAGTTCTGAAAAAAAGTTATAAAACTGTCCCCTGAAACCCAATCTGTAAAGCTTTTCAAGTAACAGAGAATGATCAATGGTATCAAAAGCCTTCGATAGATCTATAAAAAGTGCCAGGGCAATCTTGTTATTGTCTAGTGCTTGGTTAACACAGTCAGAAAAATCTTCTAAAAGTGTAATAGTACTTTTTTGCTGTCGAAAACCATATTGCGTACAAGAAAATAAATTAAATTTATCACAAAAACTGGTTATTGTTAGTTGTACCCACTTTTCGATTATATGAGCTAATGCAGGTAGAATGGAAATGGGCCTGTAACTCTCCGATACCTGTTTTGTTTTTTGTTTTGTTTTTTTCATTTTTATACAGTGGACGTATAATAGATATCTTCAAGCCCTTAGGAATTTTTCCGGTATGAAAGGTGTCATTAATTATTTTTATTAAAACGTGTTTTAATTTATCAAAACTATACCGAATATCTCGTACTCTAATATTATCAAATCCTGGTGTTTTAGTTATTGGCATAGCATTTATAATCCTCAAAAGTTCGCTCTCCGTCATCTGAGGTAAGTACGCCGAACTAGAGCATCTGACCTGTGAAGTGACGGGATTGGGACCGTTCAGTGAAACGTTAATTATTTTTTGTGCTTCTTACGGACTCAACAAAACACTTATTAAATGATTCCGATAACGTTAGAGAAGAATCTAATCCAGGAAAGTTTTTTTTTTTAATTGTATCATCCACGCTATTTTTAGACTTTCTACCAGTTAATTGGTTTACTAGGTTCCATGTCTTTTTTATATTTCTTCTCGAGGAGGTGAATTGATTTAAATAATGTTTCCCTTTTTCTAAACGTATTTTTGCTGTCACTTTATTGCGCACTGCACGAAATTCATTTCTTAGTTCTGTGTTTTCGGGATTTTGCCTACATCTGCTCCAAAGCCTTTCCCTTTGATCACACCATTATAATATTTCCTCGTTTATCCAAACATTCTCAGGTTTTCGCTTCTTCAACTTTATTTTTCTGGTACCTTTGGAATAAATATCCTGAAACGTGTCCACTAGTTTGTCATAGGCTACAATATGATCGAACTCGCATAAAGAATTCCAATCGAACGATTGTATTAAATTATCGTTTTTTTAGTGTCTAGTATAACCAATGGTATAACTTTGTACCCATTTTCTAAATCTACATTTTCAGCAGTAATTTCGCCTAATATTGAGAGTACAGTAATGTAATGGTCAGCTACCTTTTGCTTAATGACTCCAGACAGTGTTTTCAAATTACTAATTCTTATAACTATGTGGTCAATACATGATTCTGTAATTTTATTACCATAATATTCCTCCCTCGTATAATTTTGAATTACATTTTCCAGACCAAATGAAGCGAGAGTATCAAGATAACGCCGGTACTCCCTGTTTATTCTCATTCAGAACATCAATATTGAAGTCTCCTGCCAGAACTAGGTATTTGTTGTTATTAAATTTTTAAAGGAATTGTTCCAATTCATCACAGAATATAGGTATATTTGAACTGGGTGGCCTCAGTTCAAATATATGTATATATAAATATAGGACGTCGGCTCGCTCCGTGGGACAGCTTATGCTTTCGCATTAATATACAGGGTGTCACAAAAGAAAATTTACACGGTCTTTTTTACCGCAAAAATAAACTAGGCATCGCCGAACGCTCATTCTCCGCCCAAAGGTAGAGCTAGAGGTCGCAACCAGATTCCAAAGTTTCAGCCCGATCCGATAACTTAATCAAAAGCTATAAGTGATTTTCCGAAAAATTCAATGGGAAAATGGAGCCCATTTTCGCCCGTTTTCGGTTTCTGGTGCCATAGAGCCCCATGTGTTTGAAAACTTCGTCGGCCTCCATTTTCCCATTGAAATTTACAGAAAATCACTTATAACTTTTGATTAAGTTATCGGATCGGGCTGAAACTTTGACATCTGGTTGTGACCTGTAGCGCTACCGTTGGGCGGAGAATGAGCGTTCGGCGATGCCTAGTTTATTTTTGCGGTAAAAAAGACCGTGTAAATTTTCTTTTGTGACACCCTGTACATAAAGGGAAGTCCGTGATGTCGCAGGCTCTAGAACTCCAAATATAGGTTTGTCGAGGGAATTTAGTTTGTCGTTCAGTTTGCTCTTGATTTTAGAGTGAAGTTCCAAGCTTCAGGAGACTAAAATGTTCTGTTCATATCTTTTTTACGTCACTAGGTCGTTCGATTTACGTGCACCTCCCGCACCAGTGCAGAAAAGTGTAGGGCGGCGTACTTCCGATCGTATCTCAATACACACACCGTAAGTACGCTGCTCTACACTTTTCTGCACCGGTGCAAGAGGTGCGGGTAAATCGAACGAGCCTATTATGTGTAGCCTAACCTGATGTTTAGGATCATTCAGCGGACATTCAAGACATACGTACGTCAGGCGTTAACATCGACGCGTTCTTATGTGCAGTTACCGGTACCAGCTTCAAACAAACAAAGAATCTGCTCCTAAACGTTCATTTCCAGTTTTCGCGTACAATTATAACAAAGAAGAAACAATTTTTGAAGTTTGAGTTCAAGTATCAGCACACCCTGAACTATCCCCCCAAACATCCCATACTCTCAAAGCGGGGAAGCCAGACCTATGCAGAGCGC